TGAGGGAGATTTGGTGCTTAAAAGGATTTTACCTATTCAGAAGGATTTCCGAGAAAAATAGATGCCTAATTGGGAAGGACCGTATGTTGTCAAGAAAACCTTTTCTGGGGGAGCTCTAGTCTTAACTGAAATGGACGAATCGGAATTACCCTATCCAGTGAATTCTGACGCTGTTAAGAGATATTTCGCCTGAAAATGAAAAATTAAAAAATGAAAAAAAATGAAGAAAAGAGGGGCAGCGGATTAATCTTTTGAAGTTCTAATGGTCGGACAAACTTGATCATTTATTGATCTTTGCTCTATTCTCATTGCACGACAATGAGCAAAGAGGGGCAGTTGTAGATGCTCGTTTTTGTCCGGGGCTAGATCGGAGCAGACCCGAAGCAGAGCAATGGCCCAACTCAAGCCCACGTGAATACTCCCTGGAAAACTAAAAGCAGTTATTGGGAGTTAACAAAAGATGGATTTTAGTTTTCTTAATATATAAGAAAGAAACTGTAAAGGAGGTGGGGGTTAGTTTTTAATGAGCAATTAACCACCAGAAAGGGATACGCGGAAGAGAGACAGAGACAGACAAAAAAAAAGATACGAGCCAATAGAGGTATTACTGAGGGAGATATCAGCCATCACGAGAGGACGAGAAGTAGAAAATTGGATTAACTATTAGTAATTTCGTAGTGTTGAGAGAGAATACGGAAGAAAAACAATGGTGATCCTACAATTCAAAAGTAGAGAAAGATTAGAATTGTAAGTATTTTTGAGGTACTATTCTGGGATTATTTTGCTTCCAGTTTTTTATGTGTGTTTGTGTCATTTGGAGAAACTGAATGGGATCAACTTTAGGTTTGGATTATATACTGCAATATATTAGACTGTAAATTTATTTAGGTTCCTATAAAATCCATAGCACTAATTTATTGGAACCCTTTACACGTTTTTTTATTTGAAGCAATACAAAACAAAGCAATACCAATCGTTTCTCTATTCTTTGTTCCCATCTCCATTTCGACAGAACTAAGCAAGAAGTGTAAACATAATCAACTCTTTCCCATTTATATTTCTTGAGACAAAAATCATACCAAAACAAAAGATTTCAAGAGGTTTTCATTTTCTACTTTCGTTTTATAGATTTTCCAAAGGTGTATGTCTTCAATTGAAAGTAAAATAAAGGGAAAGTAGTAATGTTACCTTAGTAGTTGGGGTCGTATAGTCGGAGAGGGGAGACGCTGAAGAGAGAATGAGGCCGAGAGGTCGAGATTTTTTTTTAATCTGTTTTTAAAATTTCTAACGCGATTTAGACTCAAGATTAAAGGTTAGCACGGCGAGATGAGGGTTGTAAGGAGTTCGGGGTTGTCAGTTTAGGTCATCGGATTGACAAATAATGGTCGGTATGAAGAGCTTTGAAGTCTCGACCGAGAGGGGTTTAGGAGAAAATTGTAGGCTCGGGTTCTTCAGGGGTTGTTTAGATCTTCTCCATATGTTTGGTGCTGGTCGGATAATGAGAGGGCCACCAGTTTATGGTGGCCATTGCGCTTGGTCATTCGTTGAGTGGCGATGTGCGTGGCCGAGAGAGAGACGAAGAGTGGAGAAAGGGGAGGGGAGCTAGGCAACATGTTCCGCGTGAAATTAAAGTTTAGTCTAGGTTTAGTTAGGTTTTATAAAATGTCATTTGGGTTAATTAATTTTTAGCCATTGAATTTCTTGGTAAAATCAGGTTTCCAGTCCCCAAATTTTAAGCTTGTTTTACACTTTAGTCACCTTTAGGACTGCTTTGAATTTAATCCTTTATGTTTGTCTTGATTTAGCTATTTTCTCATTTTTAATTTTAGTTGTAATTTTGTTTGATTATTTAGGTGTAGGTCCCTCGTTATTTGTGTTTGTTTTTATTTAAGTTTATGTTTTAATTTTTAATTCGTATGTTTAATTTTATCTACATTTAAATTTAGTCATTTTTTAAAACATGTATATGTATATTATTTAAAATTTATAGTTTAGCATGTTATGATTTTGTTTTTATATTTGAGTCACATTTTGTACATTAAGTGTTAATATGCGTAATTTATGATTTTTAATTAAAATATACGTATATAATTTATTATATGTCACGTTGTATGATATTTTTAATTTTGTATAATTAATTTTGGCATGACATCCATTTTTTGCACAATTTGTATGATACCCTCACGTGCATAACTCGACCTATTACATAATCGGACTAAGGGTAATACCCTTTTAATTTAAAATTGTCTGTAGTGGCCTGTCTAACTGATTAGAGGGTCGTTATGACCATTTTAAGTTAAAAGTGTATCTCGAAATTGAAACCAAAAATTGATTTGTCACCTAAAATTTGGGAACGAAAGAAAATGAAATGTTCGTTTATTTAAATTTATCGAGAAAATGTTGTTATATCTTTTAAGATATGGTCTCGATATTTGTAAATAATCGAACATTTTTTATCTTTCTAAAACGACTTGGTAATTTTAATTTAATTTATTTAAGTGCTTTTGAATGTTTTTAAATTTACATCTTTGTTTTATGGGATCAAAAATCAAATTAAATTCAAATTTGTAAAGTTCATTGCAAAGACATTAATTAATCGACTAGGTACCATTTTAGGGCGTTATGGGGGTGCTAATCCTTCCCTGCACGTAACCGACTCCCGAACTCGGATTTTGGTAACACATACCTTAATTTGTTGTTTTAATTAAAATTAATTTTTATTTAAAATAACAAACATTTTTTGGGTGCCCAATCACACCCTAATCAAATATTGGTGGCGACTCTTTGAACCGTATTTTTTCGATGGTAAAGGAAATTCAAAAATTTTCGAAACGAGAGGTTTTTAAATCGCACTTATTTTTAAATTAAAAATCAATTGAAAGAGTAAATTAAAAATTAATGTGGTTTTCAAAATCTCACCTTTAAGAAAAAATCGTTTCAACAGCTCGTTTATATATATATATATATATATAATTATAAATACGTATGTGCGTATAATGTTTTAATCGAACAAAGGACGAGGAAAGGTGGCAATGGTTCCATGATCACCAACACCAACACCACCACGACGGTTAAACAATCGTCTCCAAGTTTTCAACTGATTCAAAACCTGTTTGTAAACGCCAATTCTTAAACCAGAAACGCTGACCATCACAGCTTTCCTTAGCTTCTTCTTTGAACCGTATTTTTTCGATGGTAAAGGAAATTCAAAAATTTTCGAAACGAGAGGTTTTTAAATCGCACTTATTTTAAATTAAAAAATTGAAAGAGGTAAATTAAAAATTAATGTGGTTTTCAAAATCTCACCTTTAAGGAAAAATCGTTTCAACAGCTCGTTTATATATATATATATATATATATAATTATAAATACGTATGTGCGTATAATGTTTTAATCGAACAAAGGACGAGGAAAGGTGGCAATGGTTCCATGACACCACCACGGTTAAACAATCGTCTCCAAGTTTCAACTGATTCAAAACCTGTTTGTAAACGCCAATTCTTAAACCAGAAACGCTGACCATCACAGCTTTCCTTAGCTTCTTCAATTTTCTCCCGATCTCCACCTTCAACCTACACAGTCTGATTCGTATGAACGATGGTTTTCTCCTGGAATCCACTTTCTCCAGCTCTTTGTATATCAAGAACTGAGCTCGTCGATGAATTTATCTCATCCGGGTCTTCTTTATCCACCTTTGAGTAGCCATATGATCTCTTCAAAACGGCCATGTTTTCTTTTTCTTTTCTGGGGAGTTTTTCTTTTACGACGGGGAAAATGTTGAGAGAAAGTGGGGAAGAAGAGATGAGGTATGACTTGGGATGGAAGCAATATTTATAGGATATAGTGATGAAGCTGTGCATGTGAAGTAGCATTGACTTGGGAGGGAAGGAATTAATTATATGGTAATGGTGGAGAAATTTCGTGTTTCTTAATAAGGTGTCGCTTGGCCTTTTGTCAGTGTGAAAACTGACGTGCTTTGCTCTAATACGGTATGCCCCTTGATAATTACTTGATTTTCCTTAATAATGTAATTAATTTATTCAGGTTTTGGCTAATAAATAAATAAATGGAGGCTGGCATGGATTATGTCGAAGGTAATGACGTAAGTGATATACTAGGGTAGAGCACACCCTGGTTTATTAAACTACTCGAATTATCTTTCTGGTCAGAATTTTAAAAATTATAAAATAATTATCAAATTTATTAAACTACTACAAAAATTATCATAAAATTATCATTGGTTTTATCAAATAATCAGTAAATTTATCAAACTTTATGATCATAAAAATGTTATGATAACCTAAAATGTAATTAAATAAGAGATATCAAGAGGAGAGAACAATGTGTAAATTATTTTTTGAAATAGTCCGAAATTACCTTAAATTTATCAAATTTTATGATCATAAAAATGTCACGATGACCTTCAAAATGTAATTAAATTAGAAACATGAACACGAAAGAATAATGTATTTTATTTTTTAAAATAGTTTGAAGTGATTACAATATTCATATAATCTTTCTTAGTTATTGGCGGTGTATGTTAATATATCCGCAGAGCATATGTATTGTATATGAAGGGACCAAATTTGCATAGGCATGAAGCATCATTGGAATGGAACAGATTAGAGGAAAGGACAAACTAGGACGACAAAACAGCCATTACATTGGATCGTATAGACAATTGTTTTCTTAACTGATATAAAACAGGTAAAGAAAGAAACATAAACTTGCTGAATCTTCATGAAGAATCCATATGGTAAAATGGAACAGATGTTGAATCTTCCTACAAAAGGCCATTGATTCCTTAACTTGGAACCCTTATTATATTTATTAATTATCAATATTTCTTCTATTGATTTATTCATCGAATAGAGTATGCACATGTCTATTATGAGAGATTTATCTAATTTAATTTATTTCGTTCACAACATTAAATTCCTAACTTTATTTAAAAAGATCTAATATTTTTAGAAGAATTAATTTTGGTAATCCAATTTTTATCAGTAGATGTGAGTATTCCAAGCAAGCTTCAGGATAAACTCCAACAAAGATTTACCCTTCAAACCAGCATAAGCCCAAGCCAACGTCGAAGTCCAATCAAGGGCATTCCTTCGTAAACCACACAAACACCAAATCTGTGTCCGAACTTCACAAGATAACGAACAAATAAAAAACAAATGATCTCTCGATTCAGAGTCAAAGCCACAAATCGGACAACAGGGATCAACCGTCAAATTCATTCTCAGCAACTTGTCAAGCGTGCTAAGCCTATCCAAAATTACAAACCAAGCATTAATAGCATGTTTTGGAACATGCAGTGGGAACCAAATGAGTTTATACCAAGACACAACAAGATACTTCACCCTTATTTCACCCCAAATCCAAGCTGCCTTTACACGGTGCAAGCTTGAGGCAGAAGTAAAAACAGGTGCAACCTCTGGCCTGAGCTTGAACACCTGCACCAGCTAGCATTGCTTTTACACTCGACAAGCCAAAAATCACCCCCTTTAATAATATACGATCGCACTCATGCCACCCAAAGAGAGCCTTCACCCGCAAGTAAGTCCCTAAGGAGTTGCATAACACACGCCCTATTCCAGCAGGAGACATCCTCGAGACCCAACCCATCTTCAGATTTCAAGGAGGAGACCTGCTGCCAACTAATCTTAGCACCACCAGTACTAGAGTCCTGCCCCTTCCAAAAGTACCTCATACACAACTGACTAATCATCTTGATCACGACCATGGGAAGGATCAGTTGCCTACATCAAAAGTTAGCAATGCCCGTAAACACTGATCTGATAAGCTGGAGTCTCCCTGAATAACTCAACTTCCTATTAGCCCAAAGCCGTAATTTGTTCTTAATCTTGTTCAATAAAAGCAGACAGTCTCTCTCCGTGAGCTTTCAAGTTACAAGAGGATCTCTAAGTAACGAACTGACAATTTACCAAGCTTGAACCCAAAAGTTCCATGAATAGCCTCCAACTGGCACACAAGGATATCCAAGGAGAATAACTCACTCTTTGCAGCATTTTCCTAAGCCCCAACATCAAGTAAAACCAATTCAACACACACTGAACTCCAATGACAGAGTCCAAATGACCTTGCAAAACACCAACAGATGATTTGCAAAACTCAATGGGTTATCATAAATTTTATCAATTCAACAAACGGTGTTTGCTGGCACTGCGGTTATCATAAACAAATACACAATCCCACGAACAAAACAGCGACCTCAAAAGAAATTAAATAGAAAATTAGAAATAATAAATAAATAAACAGAGAGAAAAAGGAATATAATTATAGCCAATAAATCAGATAATTTTTTATTTGTTTATTGCATCAGTTCTCTCACTCGGCTGAATTCAGAATCCGTCTTAACAACGAAGACAAGTACGATACTCTCATTTCACTCGTTTTTCTCATTTAAAAACAGTATTATTTTTTTTAAAGTCAATATTTTGGTTTAATATTAAGGTTACTGTTAAAGGAGAAACATGAGTTGAACAAGTGATTTAGTAACTTTTGTTTGTTTAATTTTGGTTAATGGAATAGTAAGAGATGTTTGTTCATGTTTCAAATCTATGCTTGATTTGAGTTATGATAAAAGTATCGTGAGTCAGAGAATTTAGCAGAGAATATAGAGAAAAAGAGAAATAAAAAGATGGTTTAGATTAAAAGAACAATTTTCCAGTTTGATATCTCTCAGACTTGTTTTATTTATAGCTAACAATACCCTTAATAACAAACAAAATCTATTAGAGCCTGGGGCCTTTCTTACTCTATCTTGAGTAACCGTTGCTGTTGGTTCCTGGTTCTCAACGTCAACTTCCACTGCTGCTTGTTGGTTGGTAACAAGCCCCTGCTCAGCTGCCATGTCCACGACAGAGGCTTAAATTTCTTTTATGTTTTAGGGTGTGTGTTGATCCAAGATCAATGTAGTTCTTTTGAAGTGTAGGTTGCCATCTTGGATTTGGAATGTAGAAGCTATTCCTATGTTGATTCTTTATTTTAGTTTGTGTTTGACACTCATGTCCAACCCATGCATACGAAGAGATTGTAAATGATATATGTGTAGATTACATACTCGTATTCGACACTCACACCTGAGTTCCGGATAACATAGGCCGATCCACGTGTTACTGAATGGTGTTTCGGGCTTTATGTTTGCTGTGCACAGATATTTGACCAGTCTCTTTCATGGTTAATGTTTGTTAAACCCCCCCCCCCATGTTCTGGGCCTTCTGGCCCCTTTTGAGTACCATTTCATGTTGGAAATAGTTATATGAGAAAATTGTTGCTATCTATACTCTCAATATCCTTGATAATGTGAGATTTGAGCTAAGAAATAATGGCTCAAGCCGGGGGATTTGCTTACCATTTCAATGGAAGATAAGGCCAAGCAATATCTGTACCGAATGTGTATCGTTTGCTTAGGTGTCAAAGAATCGAACCCGAGATTGTGTATGGTCTGCTTACCTTCTAGGCATGCATATCGGAGTTCATCAACAATGGCTCATTCACTGATTTAAACGATATAGCTGTTCGAATCTAACCCGTGTGTAGTGTCCAAAGGATTTCCTGATATTATGTAGTTTGGTATACTCTGATGATAGTATCAGTGTATTGTTGATCAACTGCGGTTTTGTACCAATTTTCTAATGCACTCGGTGATTCTATAGTGATATTGATGACAAAAGTTTTAATTGCTTTTCATTGCAGGTAATCTCGGAAATTTATTGCAAAAGAAATTACAACAAGGTAGTAGAAAGGTGGTGTTATTTGTGCAGCATGAGCTGCCAGAATCTAGCTTATCTTCTGCATCGGATTGCAGAATGGTAAACTTGTTGGCTTCCAAGAAAGCACGAGATCATTCAAGGGGTTAACTTCAATTTGATGCCATGGCTGCCAATGGAAGCCAATCTGCTTCCTGTCTAATTCCTCCAGCTTGAACTTGCCGATAAATGACACCGGTCTTCCCCTGGGACAGAAGGAGCTGCAAGACCTAACCGTAGATATCAGATTGCAGAATGGTAAACCTGTTGGATTTGAACCCTTCGAACTGGTGAAAGCACCAAATAATAACATAGATGCACATAAAGGCTAAAGCATCTGAGCTAGTGCCTGCAACATTTACTTCTAGTTTGCTGGTTACTGAGACTGTAAATCTGAAGCCTCAAGTTGAACACAATGCCGTGAGTTCTAACCTTAAATCACAAAAATTGGTTGGTGACGAGAGAAACCTTGACCTCATTAACGACGACAAAACCTAACTTTCCTGATCCTGAAACTCAAATCACGCCCTGTAAACACTCTGAAATCAACATCTTCGACAAACAGGCTTCTAAATTGTTTGAACTCAAACCTCAAGAATTACCTTGTGGATCCACTGGAATCAACATGTTCGGAACAAGCTTCTAAATTTCCTGAACCTGAATCACAAGCAATACAGTGTGAACCTACTAGAGTCAACATGTTTGGGAAACATGCTTCTAAACTTCCTCAACCTGAACCTCAAGTGATACCATGTGAACCTACTGGAACCAACATGTTTGGAAAACAGGCTTCCTAATTTTCCAAACCCCCATCCGTACCTCGTGAAGCCGTTGGGATCAACATGTTCGGAAACAAGCATAGTCAAGGCAAAATGTAGATGTTTCACAAGATACTCGATTGGAGCTTGCTAATAAGATCATGGCTGGTGTTGACAAGTCCTACACTGATGGATTGTTTGCAAGTGATGCTGCAACAACTACCGTGACAGCTGCATGCTCTGCATCAATGACCAGCCTACAAATAATATTATTTGGGGCTGAAACAATACCGTCCTGGCACAGGCCTTCCAGCAAAGAAACTGATCTTAGAAGAATGGTAGTACTCATGGTCATCAACAGCAACAGTGTGGAATCGAAGGCCACAGGTTCTCTCTAAAAGAAAAAAAAAATTAATGCCACAGGTGTCATTCCACCAGAGCACAATCTTGTCTAGTTCCCAACGGATTATAACGAGTCGAGTCTTCGAAAGATGATCACCATATATTATTGGTAAGAATAGTAGAGTTTAAGGGCACTCATTGTCTCTACGTCAAATTATTTTGTATGTACCCTTTGCAATCTACCTTTACTTTCCTCACTTCTAGCGCATTCTCACGCTTTTGCGTGCTGAACCTGTTTTTAAACATTTTCATTGAAGTTTGTATGGCTCTCTCACAATGGAATACCACGGTCATAAATATCATTTATGCTGATGCTGTTTTAGATTTAAATATATCTATTTTATAAAAAAATCGACTTAAGTTTCAATAAGAGTAGACCGAATACCCATAAAATAACCTATTTGAAAACTATTTAAGAGGCCTGTTTTTGAGACTGAAGTAGAGGTAGTTAATGATCGAGTAAGAGAAAAGGTGAACCAAGTTTGAATTAATATATAAAAGTATAAAACCTAACTAATTGTTATGAGTTAACTGCCCATCAACTCAATTGAAAATTTGCAACAAAAAAAAACAATTTTTTAAAAAGTGCCATCTGAAAAAGAAAACCATATGATAAAATCTGAACACCAAGAAAGTACAATTGTTTTTGATAAAAGGTTTAAACAGTGCATACATGCTATTAGCAAGGAGAATAACACAGCCTGAAATTATAGCACTCCACAGAGAAACAAGGACATATCAAGCAGAATATATGTTCATCATATTATTAAATAGAACAGCAGCTATGAAAGATTATCAGCTTAGCTATATCCAACTTGTTGCTGCTGCTGCTGAGGCTGTTGATAATTTCCGTAGCCGGGATATCCTCCATAGTACATGTTCGGGTCTTGGTGTGCAGCAGCATAACCATAACCGTATCCTTGACCGTATCCATAATATCCACTGTTCCACTGGTTTGGATCTGGTTGGGCCTGCAATGCAATAATGCCAGTCTTTCATGGGTCTGTAAAAATATCAAGAAAAAGCAATTTGCCATCAAAATATATAACCAACCTGTTTGTTTGAGGTGCTACGGCCCCATGAAAGCCTAATACTTTGTCCACCTAACTGAGTCCCATTCAATATTCGCAGTGCTTCTTCGGCACAGCTCCTGATCATTGCACAAGTACAAAACAGAAAAATAACATGAATTACTCTCTCCTAAATAGAACTATTCAGAAATACTGAGCAGTGTATCTTTACCTATCAGCATACTGAACAAATCCACATCGCTTGTTTTGTGGAATCTTCACATGCACCAACTGACCATATGGGCTAAAAACCTCTCTCAAATGGTCTTCCGTCACATCAGAATCCAAATTGCCAACAAATATCTGCATGGAAACACGTGGTGATCAGGAGAAAAAAAACAAGAAACCATGTTAATCACTGAAAGTAACAAAGTACCCACAGTTGTATTATTTGGATCATTCTCGTTCTGATTTCCTTGAGATGAAGCTGCTGCATACAAAAAATAAATGCGTAACAAATGAACAACAAAAAGGGAAAATAATTTCCAAGAAGAAACAACGAGAAAACACAAAAGATCATAGACAGGATTCTTTCTAGAATCTTGTACTTCACACCTCTGCGGGCAGACACTTTAATGTTAAGGAGAAAAAAGAAATATAACCTGAAAATGTGTACCCTGTTTGAATAATATGTTAAAGACCAAGGTACCTCACTTGTCATAAACATAAAATAGTAACTGTTGCATATACAATAATAAACACCAAAAATAAAGCACGATTCCACTACCAATGTAAGATCAAAAACTCCCATTAGAGTAGAACCAATGGGGTAAAGGGAAAACCGGGGCAAAAAAAAAATGCTAGAACACACTTATAGAAGAAAATGAAGACTGTCATTCCTGTTGCTTTTTTAGGATCCACAACACAGTCAGCTCTCAGTGACCGAGACCTTAAAGGACTTGTGACCTAAAACTCTAGAACAGTAACAAGAAACATACACCAAGAGCAGCAGGACTAAACAATAAGATCACTCTAAAATGTAAAGGGACAAGAAAGCACATTACATATGACATATGTAAAACAGAAGTAAAGACTCAATGGTAAACTGCAATGTAACTTGACTGCCACCTCTTACTAACCAGAGAAGCAAATGTTGACTGACAGAGGTCAGCCAATAGAACTGAAATGAACTTCTAAATGTATTGACTGACATAAACACAAAACTGACCTAAGTGAGGGCTCGGACTATAGGGGTAACCATTTCAGCTGAAATCAGTTCCAGGCCCCAAGATGATAGAGACTCACGATGCCCTGCTCTGAGACAACAGGAGTTTATAAGTTTTTGCATGTTTCAAATTTTCAATAGAATTATGGTGCCCAAATGTTAAAGGAAAGTACAGGAAGGAAAAGACAACTGGAAACTGCTGCTCAACTTCTAGAGAATAACTGAAACAAAGAACTTAAAACAATATTAAACACTTCAGAACAAATGATAATTGGAAATTTGCCCAAACAAGCTTATCCTTCAAGCAGATAAATCATAAATTTAACTATCAAATTTATCTGACACAAAAGAGCACAAGATTAGATGTCGTCAAATTTAAACATGCAGGTAAGATGAATCAAAATATCACAAAGGGCTTGGATAAAACAATAAACCATCAGCAAACATACCAGTTGGATATTGCTGCGCAGCACCAATCTTCTTGTTAGTAGCTGGCCCTATTCGCATGGGCCTAGTTGAACAAAAAGCACCATTCATCTCAGACATAGCTCGATTGTATTCAGTTTCATCTCCAAACCTAACAAAACCATAACCTTTTGTGCGCCCAGTGGCCCTATCAATCACAACCTTTGCACCCTTCACAGATTGGAAGTGTGCCCTGAAAGTCTCTTGAAGCATGTAATCTGTAACATCAGCAGCCAAATCTCCAACAAAGATAGTAAACTCAGGAGACTCTTCTCGCTTTTCGCCTGAACTAAAGGATGCCCAGTTCAACCTATAGTTGCTCTCACCATTCGGCATGGGTGTACCATTGTATGTTTGTAAAACTCTCTCAGCAGCAGCACGTGAGACAAACTCAATAAACCCATAGCCCTCCACTTGACCTGTTTGCTTGTTGCGGATAACTTTCACAGAAGCAACCTGTGAGAGAACCGAGAGTTGAATATCTCACGCATATATCATACGTAAATCTAAAACCTGAATGCTTGCTAGTCTTATCAATGGACATTCAAACTCGCATCCAATACCCAAAATATAAAACCTTTTAAAAAATCAAATCCACAAACAAAATTGTATCTTCGTGCCTATAGATTTCCACCAAAGAAATTAAATATCAATCAACACAAAACTTAAACACCAATCTGAAAAATCAACACGAAACCAAAAATCACAGAATGAAAAATTACTACAAAATTAACACCGCCAAATATAACGTCCCAGGAAAAAAATCTATAGATAATAATAAGTAAAAGACGTTGAATACCTCCCCAGTTTGAGCAAAACAGCTCAATAGATAATTCTCATCCATATAATACTGCAAATCTCCTATCCACAAAGTTCGAACCTCATCCGCGCTAGCCGGTTGACCAGATTGACCCGCCGCCGGTTGCTGAGCCGGCACCCCAGCCGAACCCTGCTGTGCGGGCCACATCGGAGGAGGATGACTCTGATGCGGCATCATGTAAATGTAAGGCTGCTGCGACTGAGGAGCCGGAGGAGGCTGCTGGTATTGGTACTGTTGCTGGGCCGGTGGAGCTCCCGCCATAGACGGTGGCGGAGCCATTGGAGGTGGGACCATACCCGGTGCTGGTTGCTGCATCATCTTCAGTTTGGGGATTGAGAGAGGGACTCAAAGGGAACAAAACCCTAACCCTCGATAAGGTAAGGTTTGGGAGATGTGTAAGAGAGGAAGCAATCGTCGGGAAAGGAAAAGGTTTTAAAGGCGTGGAAAGGTTACGTTTCATAAAATGACTGAAACAGGTTCGGTTCTAAGATGTTTGAACGGGAAAAAAGCTAGGGATTTTTCGATAATTTTCTTATTTGGATTTCAAATTCATGTACACTAAAAGGTGAAATTTCATTTTTGGTCCCTCCAGTATGTTCAAATTCAATATTTAATTTAGCAGAACTTGACTCTTTTACTTTTACAATATTATCAGTCAATCCTAATACCAACATACATTTTCTTAAAACACCTATCATGAATCAAATTGCACCGACTTAACAGTCAGCCCGAACTATTCGATAAAAATATTGATGTAACTTTATTATTGAAACACTTCTTTCAACTCATCATATTAACATGTATTTTTTTATGTTAGAAGTTTTCTAAAAGAAAAATCTAATATAACAATTTTAATTGGAATAGTTGAACTGTTCAAATTAACTAAAAACAGAAGGTTTGAGGGTGCTAGAAGCACTCAAACTTAAAAAGATCAATCACGTTTATGAAATTTTTAAGTATCTGATTAAATGTTGTTAGATCATTCATTTAACTAATGTTGATCATTAAATCTAACAAACGGAGAGAATTACAGTTCATATATATTGAATACATATAACAAACTGATTGTAAAATCCATATTCCAAAGTCTCAAAGCTGGAATTAGCGTTGCCTTAATGCTTAAAAAATAGCAAATGGGGGGCAAAAGGTACACATATCATGCAACACTAAATCAATGGAAAGTGTGAGCAAACCGATTGACTATTCGCTGGCTTTTAATCATTTGTTAACAGTTCGAGAAGTTCAACACCTTCCTTCAATCTTCTATCTGTGTTGTCTCTTGCACCAACACCACGGGGATTTCTGCAAAAGGAATAGGATGATTAAAAGTCGGTTCAAACTAATTTAACGAATGACATTTGGTTAAATCGGTTCAGTCCGATATGATTATTAAAGCGGAACCAAGTTAGAATATCAATTGAAATAGAAAATAAAGCAAAATCAAATAAATATATATCAATATTCTTTGATAACAAAAAGATTGGAGGCAATGACCCCAGACAAAGCATAGCTTCATCTATGTAAATCGCCTATGAATTTTAATAATAATATCAACTAATTTTAAAGGGACCACCTAACTATAACCCCTTTTCATTTTGACCACCATTTTTTGATTCTTGTCAATCAAGTCACCCAACTATTTAAATACATTTAATCAGACCACTTTTCGTTATCAGTTAACAAAAGTGCTAATATAGCAGTTAGTAAAATTGGTCTAATCAGACATTTAGTCCTTAATATTTTATATTCTATCAATTTAATCATAATTTTAAATTAATTTAATATATTTAATCCCCAACCATTCTGTGACGTGTCACCATCTAATTTAAAGGGAAAGTAATATAAATCATTTTGGGTTTTGGGGGGGATTGAACCTTGGGGAAATCATGCCACATTTGTTACTTGATTTCAAAATGCTTTTATAATATGATTATGATTATAGTAAAAAAATGAAAATCAAAAGATTTATTAGATTCGAACATGGAATCTTAACTTAAAGTGGATTAAGATGTAGCCAAGCTAACAAGCATTTAAAAAACACTTACACTATTATTTATATATTGTTAATATCTAATAAAAATACAAATAAAAATATAAGTTTTAAATTAAATTATTTTTATTTTTATATTATTAAAAGTACAAGGTTAAAATTGATATATTGTTAAAATTGTTTTCTTTTATTTTTTCCCAATTATTTTTTATAAATCATTATTTTTTATTTTTTTCATGATTATTTTTTATATACCATAAATTTTATGATTTATAAATTAGGAAAACAATTTTAATTTAGTACTTTTATTAAATCATAAATTATTTTCTTTATTTTTTTATAAGTACAAGTTTAACATTTGAAAAAAATAAAATGAAAAATATTTTAACTATATATATATCAAACTTGTACTTTAAATAATATAAAAATAAAATAAATTAATTTAACTTTAAAAATAAAATTTTTAAACTTGTTATTTTTATTAGATATTAACAATATAAATAATAATGTAAGTATTTTTCAAATGTTTGATTTACCTTAGTTACACCTTAATCGACTTTTAAGTTAAAATTTTATATTCGATTCTAATAATACCTTTTGATTTTCATTTTTTTGATATGAATCATATTATATAAAGCATTTTAAAAACAAGTAACAAATGTGGCCTTAGCTCTAGTGGTTGAGGAGTTGCATGATATCCCCATGAACCATGGTTTGATTCTTTTCATCCCAAATACATTGTTTTACTTTCCCTTTAAATCAAATCGTGACATGTCACCACCTAATTAGCGGTATTATCATTTAATTAAAATATTAAAAATAATTTAAAAAGGCCAATCATGCCATCACCACATGATTGAAGGATTAAGTATATTGAATTAATTTAAAATTATGACTAAATTAATATAATATAAAATATTAAGGACTAAATATATGATTAGACCAATTTTACTATCACATCAACATTTTCGTTAACTGATAACTTGTCTGATTGAATGCATTTAAATAATTAAGTGATTTAATTGACAATAATTCAAAAATGATAGTCAAAATAAAAAAGGACTATAGTTGAATGGTCGTTAGGAGGTCTCTAGCATAATTTACCCATTTCTAAATACAACTTTTGTGCTTAATTAAATTATTTGCAAAATACTCATCAATTAAATTTAATTATTGAAATGATAAATTACATCAATATTATGTTTTGATTAACATAAATAGTCATTAATTGTGAGAGTACTTGCCATATTATATTGACATGAAATTTATGATAATGATGTGATAATTCACATATGAGTGATGACATGGCAGAAAAATTAATTAATTTGTTTAAAAAAATATGAAGGCTTAATTATTTAAAAAAAATGTTTGAGACACAAATAAGACTCGTGAATGTTTTAATGCAAATGATTTGGTATTCGGAACCGTACCTTTTGTCGATGTTTGCTTTCCTTGCGAGTTCTTCAACAAGATTGTGTAGTCTCTTCAAGAGAGCAGGAAACTTGTGTACAGCTTTCAGACCATTCTGATTTGAACATATCTTCTTCAGTATTTCAGAAGCAATAAAGTATCCTTCTTCCTTGTTCCTGGAATGTGTTATTAGAAAAACATGACCCAAGTCAGAAACAACATATGGTTGGCCATTAACTTGTAATAGAGAAGAAAATGGAAGACCTGTGCAACTCCCACAAGAATATCTCTACTGATCGAGGAGTTTCGATTAACACTTGGGTCAAATGCGGATAGCGGACAAGGTTTCTGAGCGTCGACAGTGCGTGCTTTAGAACCTCCTGATCAGGTATGCTGCGACTGGCTGACCAAATTAGCTTCAGCAGAATGCCGATTGCACCGGCAGCAACGAGTTCTTCGCAACATTTCAGAGAATGAGCTGTAGCCATATCTGCAATCAAGTATTGTAGATTTAGTGTCATTTTAGCTCATCAAACTAGACTTTGCTCGGTAGAAAGTATGAGTTATGTAGAATGTAACATGCTCATTGCTCACCCAAGGTCTCACAGTTGTGAAGAATGCCTCTGATGCTTTTCATGCTGATTAGTTCCGAAAGTGCCGACAAAAGCCGGTTAATTAGACGTCTGCTATCATCCACATTCATAGCAGACTTCCGCATTCTCAAGTGCAAATCCAATAGCTGCTCTCTAGATTCTTTTCGAGCAACATAACCTTTCCAATATGACTACCAGATTCATAAGGAAAAAGATATTAGGACAATATACTTAAAAATTAAAACTCGGTCGGATATGCGAGCTGAACATTAGAAACATATACCAATAACACTTGCAAAATGATGAGAAATGATCTGCGAGAAATTTTACAATGTGCCATGGTTCCGATTATAAATCAAGTGTAAGTTGATTCTATGATGTACCAACTTGTATCTGGGACGTTTGCAAAAGACATTATCAAATGCAATTTACAAAGCATAGCTCAGTGTGGAGACATCTTACTTGTATTACAATAATACTAGTCCTCTCCCTGTATGCTTTTCGCCTGCCAATCCATCTCCGTGCGTAACTCTGAATAATGATTGTCGATTTTGTTCTTAATTTAAGTAACAGCACACCTCTCCACCACCTTTGCAGTTTCAGAACTGAAGTAATCAATATTGTTAATTCAACACTCTGGAAGAAGCCTTCTGACATCTTACAAGTGCAATCAGCAGCAGTAGCTGCTTGAAAGGAAGACGCTCCTGCAATTGCTCAAAGCCATATGATTTTGTATAGTCTCAGATAAAACCACAACTGAAGCATACAAAAGAGAACTTCTAGTAATCAAATAAGTAGACATTCAGGAGAAAACTAAGTACCTAAAAGCCTGCTTCGAGCAATTTGCCCTCGAATAACCCTTTGAATTTCGATAGCTGCCAGTTTCTGCAAGTGAAATGCCTTCTGACATATTAGGCGCCATATTGCTTTTTGGATCTTAATTGCAGCATCCCTTTTCAACAACACCTTCCGTACAAGCCAACCACGGCAATGTCTCTGATTTATAAGAAGAATAAAAAAAGAGAAGTCAATGTGATTTATGTATTGTTGCAAGTAAACACCATACAGAAATGTATGCTAGGGAATGCCAACGAGCATGATTCATAAGAGCAAGTGGATGCTAAAAAGCAGTAAAGTTTAAGTGTCATTTGCAAACGGCATCAATGATTGGAACTATATAAAGCTTAGCTGAAAATGGAGATATCATACTTGTATTACATCAATACATTGCCTCTCTCTATGAGCTTTTTGCTTAGCAATCCACCCCCTTGCATGACTCTGAATAACGATTGATGATTTTGTTCTTAATTTAAGTAACATAACACCTTTCCACCACCTTTGCAGTTTCACAAGTGAAGTAATCACTAAGTTTAATTCAAAACTTCTGAAGAAGCCTTCTGACATCTTACAATTGTAACATCCAGCAGTAGGTGCATGAAAGGAAGATGCTCCTGAAATTGCTCAAACCATACGCTTTGGTGATTCTCAGATGGAACCACAACTAAAGAATACAGAACTTTTAGTAATCAAATAAGTTGATATTCAGAAGAAAACAAAGTACCTAAAAGCCTATTTCGAGAAATTTGCCCCCTGATAACCCTTTGGATCTCGATAGCAGCCAGTTTCTGAAAATGAAATGCCTTCGGACATAATACGCACCGTATTGCTCTTTGGATCTTTATTGCAGCATCCCTTTCCGACAACAGCTCCTTCCTTACAAGCCAACCACGGCAATGTCTCTGATTTATAAGAAAAACAAGAAGTCAGTGTGATTTATGTATTGGTACAAGTAAACACCTTACGGAAATATATGCTAAGGAATGCCAACGGGTGTGATTCATTAGAACAAGTGGATGCTAAGAAGCAGAAAACCTTAAGTGTAGACGTTTGCAAAAGGCATCATTTATTGGTACTATATAAAGCATAGCTGAAGAGAGATATCATACTTGTATTACAACAATACAACGCCTCTCTCTATGAGCTTTTTGCTTAGCAGTCCATCCCCTTGCATGACTCTGAATAATGATTGCTGATTTTGTTCTTAACTTGAGTAACAAAACACCTCTCCACCACCTTTGCAGTTTCATAAGTGAAGTAATCAATAATTTTAATTCTAAACTCTGGAAGAAGCCTTCTGACATCTTAAAATTGTAACCGCCAGCAGTAGCTGCATGAAAGGAAGATGCTCCTGCAATTGCTCAAGCCATATGCTTTGGTAAATTCTAAGATTGAAGCATACGACTGAGAACTGTTCGTAATTGAATAAATTAGTATTCAAAGAGTAAGTACCAAAAAGCCTATTTCGAGAATTTTGCCCCCTGATAACCCTTTGGATCTCGATAGCAGCCAATTTCTGAAAATGAAATGTCTTCTGACATAATACGCACCGTATTGCTCTTTGGATCTTTATTGCTGCATCCCTTTCCGACAACAGTTCCTTCCTTACAAGCCAACCACGGCAATGTCTCTGATTTATAAAAAAAACAAGAAGTCAGTGTGATTTATGTATTGGTACAAGTAAACACCTTACGGAAATATATGCTAAGGAATGCCAACGGGTGTGATTCATTAGAGCAAGTGGATGCTAAGAAGCAGAAAACTTTTAAGTGTAGAAGTTTGCAAAAGGCATCATTTATTGGTACTATATAAAGCATAGCTGAAGAGAGATATCATACTTGTATTTCAACAATACAACGCCTCTCTCTATGAGCTTTTTGCTTAGCAGTCCATCCCCTTGCATGACTCTGAATAATGATTGCTGATTTTGTTCTTAACTTGAGTAACAAAACACCTCTCCACCACCTTTGCAATTTCATAAGTGATGTAATCAATAATTTTAATTCTAAACTCTGGAAGAAGCCTTCTGACATCTTAAAATTGTAACTGCCAGCAGTAGCTGCATGAAAGGAAGATGCTCCTGCAATTGCTCAAACCATATGCTTTGGTAAATTCTAAGACTGAAGCATACAACTGAGAACTGTTCGTAATTGAATAAATTAGTGTTCAAAGAGTAAGTACCAAAAAGCCTATTTCGAGAAATTTGCCCCCTGATAAAACTTTGAATCTCGATAGCAGCCAATTTCTGAAAATGAAACGCCTTCTGACATAATACGCACCGTATCGCTCTCTGGATCTTTATTACAGCATCCATTTGCAGCAAAAGCTCCTTCCTTACAAGCCAACCACGGTAATGTCTCTGGTTTTCAATAAAAAGATAAAGTCATTAATATGTATTGCTGCAAGTAGGCATCTTATAAAAATATATGCTAAAGGGACAAAAATGGATTTGAGATAGAGGTGATTATTGTCTAAATATCAATTTGACCATCATATCAAGACAATGAAAAAACATAAGGAAACTCTCTGATATAATCAGCGATGGAAGAAACAACTTACTTGGATTACAACAATAAGATATCTTTGTTTCCAAGATTTTCTCCGAGCTATCCATCCACGAACACAAGATTGAATGTTGATTGCCGATCTGGCAGCAATTTTATATCGCTGAAAAGCACTCAAACATTTTAGCCGTCTAAAATTACTTTGAATGGTTATTATTGCTTGCTTCTGCTTGATAAAACTCCTCCTTAATTGCCAACCACGGAAATGACTCTGAATTTTTGTTGCAGCAAATGTCTGATTTTGGAGGAATCTATGGGCAAATTCCTTCTGAGCAACCTGGAAGGCCCTCCAACATTTCAGTTGTCGAAATTACTTTGGATTTTTATTATAGCTTGCTTCTGTTTCATAAAACTTCTCCTTAAATGCCAACCCCGGTAATGGCTCTGAATTTTAGTTGCTGCAAATATCTGATTCTGGAGAGATTTACGGACAAATTCCTTCTGAGCAATCTGAAAGGCCCACCAAGATTTCAGTAGTCGAAAATTACTTTGAATTCTTATTATTGCCTGCTTCTGCTTCATAAAACTTCTCCTTAAAAGCCAGCCCCTGAAATGGCTCTGAATTTTAGTAGCAGCAGAAGTCTGTTTGTGTAGATATCTACAAACAAAATTCTTCCATGCAATCTGAATCCTGGTTGCCGCTTCTGTTTCGCAGTTTCTTAGACCCTTCTCCTGGCCTTTAAGAGAATCATTCTCAATAATCTGAATAGATCTGACCACCCTACCACGGAAACATTTCGTGATTGCAATGGCAGCCTTAACTAGGTCTGGACAGGAAGTATCAGGCCTTTGAGCTATCCAACTCCTTGCAGAACGCTGTATGAGCAACACTGATCTTCTTAAATTAACAAAACTATGTCTCTCAGCAATAAACTTGACAAGCCTCTCGAGTTCTTGCAAGGCAAAGATCAAACAAATGAGAAACCGGTGATATGAAAAATGCATATAATCAAAATACTTGATACGAGCAAATACCAGATGGAAATTCCTGATCTCTGTTAAAAGTGAATTTGTTGAGCTGTGAATTTTTCTTCACAATCAACCATGCACGCATAACAGTTTGGATTAAACCAATAGCTTTTATCTTCTTCAGAAAATTACGACGCAATATGAAACTCCTGAAATGAGACTGTATGACTATTGCAGCAATCTCTGAAGCATTATGCAGGGAGCGCAAGGTTAGAAGGAGAATATTTCTTATCACAAAGATGCAATGCAAGGCCATAAAGGTCAAAGATACAATACTCAGATAAATTGAGAAAGGCAAAAAATAAGTAAATAGATAAACAACTTTTGATGAAATATATAATTTGTCAAGTGAATTCTCCAATTCCAATATGATCTAATTATGATGTCACAATGATTTCAACTCACTACGAACAGATTTCCCACGAGAATTTAACTACAATGCGGAAAGCAATAAATAGATATCAAATTTAAATTTCTTAGGTAGAAACACCAACCTAATAGAGAACAAAGTGATAACTTTAGAGTAAAAGTTATTGAACTCCTAGTCAATGTTGAAAATGCATCAACCGATAACCAAACAAAGGAAAAATAAAACTAGTTAAAAGAATTAACTAGAGGAGGGGCAGAAAATAACCTCTGGAAATGCCAATACTTATCTTCTGACCTGGGAAGAAAGATGAAGTAGAAGCAGCAGGTTTTACAACACTACTGTAGTTTTGTTCTGTCATATCTTGCCACCAAGCCAGAATGACCTCGAACTTTTTGGAAGCATCTGCATAAATGAAGTAGAAGAGACAGAAAAAAAATATATTAGATTTTAGTGCTCAATCTAAGGGATTGAACATGTAGTAAACTAGAAAATGCAACAACTTTGACACAATAATTTCCTCTAACTAATCCCATATTAAAAGTAAACAAATATACACATGCATATACACATTGATAGATGGTGTTATCCCACATCCATCGAGTTTTCTGTGATCTTATATTAAACTTGGGTGTCTCCATCTATTACCAATTGGTTTTAGAATCCCTTAACATGGAATCAAATCCCAAGGTATATTATATTATAGTTCCTGCCTAAAACCTTAGTGACCTACGTACATGATGTAAAGTGGTGTTAACACACATCAAATGCATACCGCACACTATATGAAAATTTTGAAGATGATGGCCATGGACCAGAATTGGTATAATAACTATGATAAATCTACAAATAGAACACATCTCATCTGTCTGGAATGCAGCCAATAACAGCTTATTTTCCAGTTATTTTGTCTAGGTTTGATGAGAGTGATCCAAGATGCATACTTGCTAAAATAAGAATTATCACTAAATAAAGGACCTTCGGTGATATCTAAGTCTCTTTCTTTCTTTTGCACAACGCCTTCAGAACTTGCCAACCGCCTTTGAGTTAGTGAATGCCTCCTCTCTAGGTTTTGGCAACTACAACCCAATAGTTTATGGAAATTCAACTGATCCTGGAAAAAGACAGAAGAGTTCTTGAAGTAGTTGCATTTCTTGACATTAAGGTGGGACAAAACCTAGAGAAGAGGCATTACCACATTTTTCTTGACAACAAGCCGGGACAAAAGGAAAACCAGCAAAACTACCACACTCTTGTCACTAACTGCACCATTATGCTCAAGTAAGTCACTTATTTGCAGAACCTGTATGACAACATAGGCAAATAATATTGTATTGAGAAATAGACATAAGGTAACATCAATATTTAACTATGACATGCACAATCACAGTTTATCATTGGACACCGTGGTGCCTCAATTCAAAAACCCATAGGCTTTTTAAAAATTAGCAGTCTCTCTCAAATCTCTCTTTTATAGCAGTTATCAAAAAGTTAAAAGGGGTCATAAATCTGAAATGTAAAAGTAAATAGTTAATCACCAATCATTAAAATAAGCATTACCTCAGGAAAGTTTCCGAGTAATGCTGTCAGTTTCTGTGATAATACAAAATTGTGAACTGCATCTGTGTAATCGGAAGCAGACATGATTGATTCCTCACCTCTTGTTTCTTGAGAATTCTGTTAAGACAAAGCAGCAAGTAAGAGAATAATAATACAAAAGAATAGTGAAATTGTGAAAAACATTGGGACAGAAAAAGAATGTTTACCACCTTGTTCAAACAAGAAAGTTCTTTGCGGATGTAATAATCAAGCACGCACCATACGGCTTTTCCATTGACCAGTGAAGAAAAGCTTTCAATCCTAAGACCATAATTTTCGCCAATTGCCTACAAATATCCGTTCAACTTATTAACTTGAGTAGTTGTCAACAAAAAATTAACTTCAGTAAGATCATGAAGATGCAAATTTAAAAGCGAACACGCAGAAAATGAAAATCCCTGAACACAACCATTGATTAACAAATATATCAGAAAAATTGTTATCTAGAACTGGAGAAGAATAAAAACTAAGCTGGTGATGATATAACATAATACCTGGATCCAGTTTAAAAGCATTCCCAAATTTGAAGAATTGGTTACATTCAAGTTATCCTGTAATAATTGAAAAAAACGAAATTGAATTTATGAACATCAGGAGGAAATCTTAATAAACAACAGAAAGGGACATAAAAGGAACTTAGCTAAATTTTCTAGTATTTCAGCATATAGTTTGTTAATTACGTAATGAATAGAAAAATTAAATAGTTATCCACCCTTCACCAGCCCCATTTTTCACCAGAACTCAAGAAACATTTGAAGCATACCATTTTAAAGCCACGGATGTTGGATATTTCCCCACCAATGGTTGTTTTGTCAATCAGAAGTGGCAACTGCAAGATCAATGAAAACACAAGTGGCAGCTAAAGGATTCAATATTACAAAAAATCTTTAGAAACAGTTAACATCTGAAAAATTCAGATGTAGAGAAGATTAGCAGACCTGTAAACGAACAAATATACTCCAGAGCAAGGACAGAGTAAGTTCCTTATCTCTGTCAGCAATATCATCTCTAGTAATCTTCAATCCATCTTCATCACATAGCATGACACCAGCTTCTCTCAAATATTGCAGGGCAACACCACAATTTGCCAAATTCTTTTTGTGAGTGTCTGAAGGAACCACTATTTTCTGCTCATGCAAGAAAGCTGTTGAGTGAAAATTATATTCCATGCAGTGCTTAACTGTAACTAGTTGGTCTAATGTGTAAACATCAGAGTGATTGGACAGATAAACCAACCATGAGGATTGACTGATTATGTTGCAAAAGCTGAATAACTCTACAGAGCCGCACACCATCTTGAAGATCCAAGAATAAATCTGATACTTGGAAGTCAAACTCAACAAGGGCAGACTGCACCAAGGTAAATTCTTAGAGGGTAAAAGTAAGAAAGAAGGAAAAAAAACTATAACTTCACGTTTGCAAGATGTTAAATAAAGTTAATATATAATCATATGCGCCAAGTGCCTGAAAGTAAGTTGCAAGATTAGCGTTAAAGCATATTGCTGGTTATAAATATGAGCCACAGGCCACAAGCACATAAGCACTATACATTGATTAAAATGTAACCAACATACCTGCAGATGAGAAACTTTGTACCCTACAATCACTAGATGTGCAAGAAGATTACCTTCCCCATGCATAACATCAGATGATAAGAAATCTAGTTTCATATCATAAATGAAAACAATGTTAGCCCATACAAAGCAAGTGCAGGTGAAAGTTAAGCAACAAAAACATACATGTATGAAGATGGAGAATTACCATTAAGGACTTGAGGACTTGATTTTATACCAGATGAAACCGTGAACAGAAGAGGAGAACCTCCATCCACTCCATCAATTCCATAATTAAGAGGAAGACGGGTCTGAGATTTAGCTCGATCAAGGATAAGAACAAGCAGCAATATCCTCTTCAATATAATATTTCCCAAATTCTCATAGTATCCCGGCCTGTACAAACCATCCACCTTCTTGTTATAAGCATAAGCCTTTGCAAGCCCAGTGTGCGAGAAGAATTGTTTTTCTATTATCATCTTTAAAAACGAGATATCTTTCACAGAACTAAAATCTCCCTCAGATGATATCAAGGAATCGCCACCAAAAATAATATACAACCCAATTCGAAACCAAATTGGATTGTAAGACAATAGAATTTTAGAAGCCTTTTCCTTCATTCCAACATCTGTAACTATAGGACAACTCGCTTTCATCTTTAACCTCCCTTCATCTATATTCTGACAATTAATCAAAAACAACAATAACAAATTTGTATCAATAAGTGATAATATTATGAGTAAAACATCGCTTGTTTACTCCACGGTGCATTCATAGAGCCATAAGTTATATCACTAACCAAAAAACATCTTTCTCACTGAGGGGAAGAATAAATAAATAATAATTACAGAATCCAACCTTAGCGACTCGAGTCATGACATTGAAAACCTCTTTGCAACTCGCCAAACTCAAATACATCTGCATCCGCTGCTTCAAATCATCAAAGCTACAAACATCCTTCAACGAAGCCCTCAAATTTAAATACTTTGAGGTCAAAATATCCGCAGCGACATTTTCAGATCCCTCCCCTCTCCACGACAACTCTCTCATCCTTTTCGGGCTTCTCCAGGCACTGTCCACTTGCACAATATTACTCTCACCGCAGCCATTAATGGAGAGATCACAACCACAAGCCTCCGGGTTCCGAAAGAGGAAATTGAGCCAAACGGTGAGGGCTTTAGAAAGGGACCTAAGCGATTGGTCTTTCTTTAGTTGCTCTTTGCAAGCGGACTGAGATTGCTCCAGCTGGTAAGCTTTGAGCTTAGCGACTGATTTGGCTTTGGATCGGGAAGAGGAAGGGACAAGGGAAGGCCGGGAGCGGTAGCAAAACGACGAAGATGGCCTCCGAGTTTCAGTGGAAGCAGTGAAGAACTGAGTGCACGGCTTGGAAGGGCGTTTTGGGGTTTTGAAATTGGAGATGTCTTTGAGAATGAAAGAAGAAGACAAAGACGAAGGAAATGGCTCTTCTTCCTCCATTTTTCTTCTTTGATTTAATTTTGAGCAGTGACTTACAGTTCAGCTTCTGCATAGGATCTATGGTGTGGGGATTTTCATTTTCTGGTGCAAATTTAGAGAAGAAAGTGAATGATGAGATCAAGAGAGTGAGCATAATGCCGTACCTTTCCAGTTTGAATTTGAAATCGAGAGCGCCAGACGGATCCCGCTAAAGATTTCGCACGTGTTTACAAGTCTTTTATGGTAAAAGCACGCTAATATTGGCAAGAATCTAAAGAAATTGTTGTTATTTCTTAAAGTATTATTTCGAGTATCATAAATAATAAGACGTAAACATTCAATATCAAATGATTGAGAGTTATTTTTAAATAAATATCGTCTTATACTTATCACAAATTAATTTTTTAAAAAAAGACATTGTGAGATTCAAGGATTAATTTATTTTAATTTAATATATTTTAATTTAAAAATAAATATGTTAAATTAAAATAAACTAAAATAAAAGTAATCATCCAACCGAGTGATGACATGTGGCACAATAGTGATACTAGTGACACATGGCATCATTCGATTGGAGGACTAAATTTATTTTAATTTATTAAAAGTATGACTGAATTAAGAGAATGTGTAAATAACAAGTACCACATGTTTGATTATACCAAAATATTTAAGGACAATTAACTCGTGATAACTATATTTTAATTAAATAAAAACGAAAGTAATCATATATTATGTTGTTTTAAATTAGTGAGGAAAAGTGGACAAACACAAACAAATATGATCAATCATGTAGTTAACCGTTAAAAATATAAATGTTCAAACTATACATCTTTTCTATTTTAGGCACCTAAAGTTTTATTTTGTCACGATAAGTGTCTAATGTTTTTTATGTTACCATTTTAAGTATCTAGTCTATTACAATAGTTAAAAAATTTTGTCAACCACTCAAAATGTGATATGTATGATATTTATAATTTTTTTAAAAGTTTTATTTAAAATTTCAAAATTAAAAAAACCCAAACGCTTCAAATCTCTAATTTCAAACACTTATTGTGATAAACGAGAAATTGTTGAGATGCATAAGAGAAGACAAAGGTATTTTAATTGAATAGTCAAAACATGGCCCAATAAAGTTTAGGAGAAATTGTCAGGATTTTAAATAATATAAGTCGGTCTGGTCGAGATCGAATATACCATTATTTTTTTGTTAGATTAGAAATAATTTAAATAGTATCAAAATCGATGTCAGATTATGGTTTTATTATGTCAAGTCAAGGTTAAAACGGATAAAAATTTAATTCAACTCAATCTATGATCATCCCGAATTTTAAATGTATTCATGATTTGTCTTTAACAATTCAAACTCAACAAATTTATCAATTTAATTCTCAAATCTTACATTGATTAAATAACAATTTTTAAATATTAAAATATACTTTTTTAAATATATAATTATTGAGTGATTGAAAACATAGTCAACGTGTTATTATCAACACGTATTACACATCCTTTTTTAGAACAAATTTCGTAACAGTTGTTGTCCTTTCGTTTTCATTTATTTTGGTCACGATTAATACAAACATAAAAACATCACCCGAATTTCCTACCGTATCAATAAAATTACATCCTAAAAACAAGATTTCTTAAAAGCGCATCCTATGTTGCACGACTTTATCGAAAATGTATTATTCATATAAATTTGCCCAAATAGATGCATTAACGTATGTAATATGGATACAAAATAAAATATGAGGGGGGCGTAAAAAGTGTTTTTACCGTAACAACAAACTCATAGGAAGTATTACACATGAGAAAATAAATTAAAATATGTTACATCAACGTACTATAAATTGATACAAAACACAATTATTAATGTGATTGGAATCAAACGGAGCCTTATACTCAATTTAAGGGCCAATTTGATGATTTACAGCATTTAATGCACCTCTTTATACAAGAGAGACAGAGATTAAAGAATAACCATGGCTGGAAATCCTAATGTCGCTGCTGAGAACCAGGCCAATAAAAAACCCAGCCACCTCCTCGATAAGCCACCGAACCCTCATATGGAAAAGGAAAATCCTGCTATGAACGTCGATGCTATAGTAATCGGAAGTAGTTTTTATAGAGATAAACTTTTGACCGGATTCACTTCTCCCATGCAAGACACCAACATGGATTTTGAAGAATATGATATTGAGATCCTTGATGGGGACGTTACAAGGAACATGATCGATGGATTGATCTCAATCGATTTTTTCGATCGAGTCCATAACCTCGCCGTCAGAAGCCTGAGTCAAACTGTTGTTGTCAAACTCCTTGTCCACCGTATTGGATACATTGCTTTAAGCAATCGAATATATGATCTCTGGAAGCCAACCCAAGCCCTTCGTATCATGGACATAGAGAATGATTATTTTCTTCACTTTCAGAAGCCGAACGAATTATCTGAAGGTTCTAGCGGAAGGCCCTTGGCTCGTCTATGAGCACTATCTGACAATTGAACCTTGGACTGAGGATTTCTCACCCACTCAACCACATCCGAGTAAGGTGATCGCCTGGGTTCACCTCCCTGGACTCCCTGTCACTCTACAAACGAAGCATGATCACGGAAATTGGCGAATGTATTGGACCAGTGATTAAAATTGACTATCAAATTAATAGTGGCTGGCAAGGTTGCTTTGCGCGAATGGCGATTAGAGTTAATCTAAAGAAGCCGTTGGTTTCGAAACTAATATTTAATGGTAATATTCAGATAATAGAGTATGAATCTCTACCAGTAGTATGCTTTAATTGCGGCACCTACGGTCACTCTTCAGCCTCTTGCCCTCAATCCAAAACTGAATCTGATGCAGCTCAAAGTAATACTGGTGAACCTAGTCACTTAGAGACGACGAATGATAATTATAATTATAGTCCTTGGATGTTGGTAGAAAAATGACAGCATCGTTCGAATAAACCTCAATCCACAAACAGTAAGGCTGACACATCTTTCAAGTCCCGCTTCAATCCTATTGATGTCTTAGATGAGAATGAATCCAATGATAACGAGCAGATTCCTCAAGATAGTTTGCAGACCGATGCAAATACCCACGCTGCCTCGGGTGAAAATGCTACTTGGAAAAACAACGACAAGGAAAAGGTGCAGGGTTCCTCTAAAACTGGTAAACAAAGAGCACCCATAACCTAAAAAAACCAGTCAATACTCCCAAGGTTCCATCATTGCAATCCTCGACCTCGGCTAGTCATCGTAGTATTTTTATTCTGAAACACGGTGCAAGTTCCTCTCATGTCAAACTGTTAGCTCTTTTTCTTTCCTCTTTGTCATGAATCTAAAAGTTTTCTGTTGGAATATCCAAGGCTGTGGACACACTCGTTTCTTGTCTGTTATGCGTCAATATATCAAGGACCACAATCCGGATGTTATTGGTTTTGTTGAGCCTCGGGTTAGTGGCTCCAAAGTTGATGTTGTTATTGCTGCCCTAGGATTCCCTAATTCTCATTGTGTGAAAGCGATAGGCTTCTCTGGAGGTATATGACTATGTTGTTATGACACTGCTTATGTGGAAATTCTTGAGAACCAATTTTAATTCATCCATTGTTGCATCAGTTGTTAGATTTGGCTTGAAATTAAGTTAGGCAAGTTGGAAATTTCATCTTGGTTGGTGGCCAACTTATTGGAAATTTCATCTTGGTTGGTGGCCAAACTTTGAACATGAGAATTCCATATTTGATCCCTAAAATATTAGGTTATTTATAAGTTTAGTCCTTAAAACTCAACTATAAATAGACATAAGTATTTTCATTAGAAATCATCCCAAAAACAAGTTCTCTCTTCCTCTTGTTTTCTTCATTCTCTCAATTTGGGAATTCTAAAGAATTCCATTTGTTGTAATATTTGTTGATAGTGAAGTTATCATCCGGTGTGGTGCCTGAGGAGTAGACGATATTCTCATCGAACCTTGTAAATTTGGTGTGTTCTCTCCTTTATTGTTTTTTATTCGAATTTTCCATTGTGTTTCAATATTCAATAGTTTGACAGGTTTATCCGCTGTGCAACCTTTGGTAGTTTAGATCTTGACATTTTAAGTCAATTTTGAAACTACGTTCGTGTGGGAAATAACCCGATTTTCCAACAATTGGCATCAGAGCTTCGTTGAGGTTATCCTGGTGGTTCCGTTGCTGAAAAGATATAGTTCGTGATATTGAATATTGTTCGTTAGAATTAAAATACCAAAATACGGATCAATTTTATCCTGGTGGTTCCGTTGCTGCAAAGATACAGTTCGTGATATTGAATATTGTTCGTTAGAATTAAAATGAAAAAATACGGATCAGTTGAGACATCAAGCTCTTCATCTGGACCGATGAGGAGGGTGATGTCAAATGTAAATTTCTCGGTGGAGTTGTTCGATGGATCCGGTCATTTCGGCATGTGTCAAGGCAATGTGTTAGACGCTTTATTCTAACAAGGTCTAGACATCGTCATTGAGGAAGAAAATCCCGAATATATGGAGGATAAATAATGGGGAACAATCAATCGTTTGGCGTGCAACACGATTCGATCTTGTCTTTCCAGGGAGCAGAAGTATGGCTATAAGAACGACACTTCTGCAAGTAAGATGTGGAAAGCATTGGAGGAAAAATTCATAAAGAAAAACTCTCAAAATCGTCTCCACATGAAGAAAGATTGTTCAGATTTGATTATCATCCAGGCACCAGTATGAATGAACACATCACCGCGTTTAATGAGCTAGTGGCAGACTTATTGGGCATGGATGAAACCTTCAAAGATGAAGATTTGGCCTTGATGTTATTGTCATTGCTTCCAGATGAATTTGAGCACCTTGAGACAACGTTACTTCATGGTAAGGATAATGTTACCCTTAAAGATATAACTGTTACTTTGTATAGTTATAAGCTCAGGAAGAAAACCAAGAAGGAGAGCAAGTACGAAGCAGCGGAGGCCATGGTGGAAAGAGGTCGCTCGAAAAGTCAAAAACCAAAGTGGAGAGGGAGATCAAAGTCGAAGTCCAGACTGG